ATTAACAGTTTTGAGGGTCACTGGACCCGAAACGTTAACTCTGATTTCTCTCCACTAATGCTGCCGGACCTGCTGACATTTTTCAGCAATTTTCGTTTTTTGTTTCTGATTTCCAGCATTCACAGTTCCTTCTGCTTTTATTTAGTAAATGAATTGCACGTAACTATCACACGGGAGCGAAGTCTGTGTCTCTCGGTTATTGCTGATCATTTAAGAAAAGGTCGCGAAAGAAACAGCTCATTACACATCTTACGAAGTCTTTATTTTGCCTCATCACTTTAGGGCACGTGTTTAATCAACAATATATTAGAACGCCTCTTACTGGAGTTACTTACCTAATGTCACTGCCACTTCCCCGTGTGTTCTGTTCTATTTATTTTCTCCTCAACAGCTACTTACTCGAAAGTAAATTCGGCTTAAGCGTGTGTTTTTCTTTAAAATTTTGGTCTTTTAGATTTGGGAGCTATCCTTGTCACAATTTAGTAAGTAACAAACCGGCGGCGCTCTCCATCACAGCTCCAACTCTCGAAGAAAGAAGATCCCAAAACCGTCGCTCAGTTTTTATACACTCTCTGATCTAACCGGCACGTCACTGATTGGAAGAATCTAGCAGTCCACACACGCTGATCCCGATGCAGGATTGCAAAAGGGAAAAGCAGATCACAGACATACAGCGGGAAAACCAGTTGACCACACTGATTTATACAGACTAGCACTGAGTGTGATTGTGAATTTAGAACAGGGAGGCAAGCTAGTTCACTTCACTTGCACTTTACCTAAAAAAGTTCCCAACGTTGGACGCTGCGGAGGCAGACGGCATTGCAGTGACTATATTTACATGTCTGCTTCTTGGTTGCAATTTTTTGGGGGTGCTTAATTTATATTTAATTTTCATTGGCTCTGCTATATGAGGGTCTTTGGCTTTCTGATTTCCAGCATTCACAGTTCTTTCTGTTTTTATTTAGTAAATGAACTGCACGTAACTATCACACAGGAGCGAATTCTATGTCTCTCGGTTATTGCTGATCATTTAAGAACTTCTTGCCCGTCCCTAGTTACTCCTGGGAAGGTTATAGTTGAGGCAGTCCATATGAAGTAGGGATCCCATCAGCGCAGCTAAGGAGAGAGTTCCGGGATTTTGACGCAGTGGCGCTTGAAGGTACGACGATACAGCTCAAAGTCAGGATGGGCTGTGACTTGGAGGCGAGCTAGCAGATGGTGTGTTGATGTCCCAAACCTTCGGTTTCTTAGTTTACAGCCATTGCGAGGTCGTCACTTACCGTAATTACGGATGACCCTCCATCAGCCAGTTCTAGTTCCGCAGTCAGTTTTAGTCCTACTGAGCTTCCTAGTTCGCAATATCGAAAATCCAGCGAATTCATTACTTCATACACTTTATTTCTCTCTTTAATAAGTTATTCACAGTAAATATTTTGAATTTGTGAATGTTTTACCCGCACTAATTGGTGTTACAATTTATGTTTTCATATTTTTAACTGTAATAAAGCATCAGAAAAGAAGCACAGTTGAACGAAATGTTACTTTCTCTGGAATAACACCTTGCAGAATATCGAAATGTATTTTGTGCTAACTGCAATAGAATGTAATAGGTAGCAAATAATCTGGTATAGCGATGTTTTAATCTGTCAAAGCATCACAATCTGGGATAATTCTACAACTCATTATTTCAGATCAAGGTTACATCCTGATAACAGATACCCCCCACCCCCGCAGTTAAACTGCAGTTCGCCTCCAATTTCCCGCTATAGTTACTTTTATCATTTACCTCCCGTCAACAAAATTTCATCTTCAATTAAAAACAGGTCCAGCCTGTAGCCAATACAGCATTCGCATACACTGGACAGAAATTATGTTAGCTACCTACACAGCTCGTGATCATTTGAAAATCATAATAACTGATACTGAGAATAGTCAGGTCGCTACCAGCAGAGGCAGTTTGGTGAAGGTATCATTCACTGGTTTATATACCTATCGCTGAGGCTGTCTACCAGCGTCAGATCGACTGGTAATATTTTTTAGTGGCAGGAAGATTAATGACTCCGCCATTCCAATATCTGCAGAGTTACGCGCTTTTCGACTAATTATAACTCTTCGCTGGAAAAAAAAACAGATAGTTGGCAACCTCGCCGGGTCAATGAATCGAGCCAATTGATACATTTTCCATATTTGGAGAAGCCAGCCGCCATGTCGGCAACATTCTTCTTATAAAAGCAAGTGCGGTGAATGATCTCGGCATCCTCCATTGAGTCAACGACAAAGGTAGGTTCGATCAGGTCAGCTCTCCCAAGTCATGCATTCGTAATAGAATGAACAAGGCTATTTAAAATTAAGCATTAGAATCGGCAGTGCTCTCGGGAAAACTATCCTAAGGAGAAATAACAAAATGTTATTTTTATTTAGCTATGATACACAAGTATTACTGAATCCAATAGATTTATGCGTAAAATGTTTTTTTTTTACATTTTTGCCACATTTTCCTCTTACGTTCCTCTCCTGATTCATTTTTACTATGGCCTTTTGTCTTTTTGCCCCGTTGAAACTGATATGAAATTTCTTGCGCCCTTTTTTAAAAATAAAAAAAATCCCAATACAGTTACAAAAAGTTTGATGCATTCATTGAAGCTTGGTCAAGACAACTACCAAGCACCTGAGGCAGGCGTGTCAATGATTGTCGAGGCTACCACGCAGCCTCCACTCTCAATCTTGAACTTTAAAGGATGCTGATGGTCAACACTGGGGAACGTTTGGCTCGGAAGCCACCTTTTAAAACGTTATCTGTGTAAGTTCAACGTGTACTTGTTGACCAATGGATCAGAGAACGTATTAATTGCGCTAAAAGAAACTGAATGGGGGGAGAAAGCTAACATCTCTGTTAAAAGCCAACATTGTTGTGCATCAAACACAAGGTTCAAGCAGCTGATTGAAGTCCAAAGTCTTTCTCCGTCAACAAAACACTTGCCTGACGATTAACGTTCACCTTTGCTTCCAGCTCCTGGCAACTGTACAGGATTTGTTACTTCCAGCTACTTGTGTCGAACAAGGTAAGACAAACTAAATACAATGTCGATGCATGAGATTTTCAGAACAAAACTGATTTGACGAGCATTATGATGAATGGCCTGTACAATCTATGATATTAGATGCGGTGGTTGCACATTGACATTACTGGAGCTTAGTCATTGAAATATTCTCAAGTTCCTGACAACATAAATATATTGGGATCATTCAACAATTCGGTCAAACTTGTAAAGACGGAGGTTGGGGTGTAATGATGCTGTCACTGGACTAGGAATGCAGAGTCCCAGGCTAATGTCCCTGGGGACGTGGGGTTAAATCCCATCAAGACAGAGAAGTACATTTGGGGAGGCCCGGGTTCACGTCCCACCTACTTCAAAGATGTGCAATAACGTCTTTCAATAGGGCAAAGAGAGACGAAAAATACTTTTGTGGGGGCTCTTGAGCAACTGTGGTAAGCCCCTGCCTCTGGGCAAGAAGGCCCATTTGCTTCAGAGGATCTGAACCGATTCGTTGAAAATATCTACAAAGGGCTTGGTGCAAATACGGGGATTGGCAGTTATGAGCTGAAATTGTGCGTTGGTGACCAGCTGGAAATACATTTTTGCTTGACACAAGTTGTCGCCTATCACTATTTCATGAACAACTGTGTAATTGTACGAAGAATGCACTCTAGATGCCACTGGTGCCTCAGAATATGGTACATGTAACAGTAACAGGGCATGATAGTCAGCGTTCACTATAACTGAAGACGCAATCTGGCCAGAGTTACAAACATGCTGCAAAATGCGGTACCTCAATTGTTGGCGACATCGCGCGGTGTTTAATATAATCTGGATGTATATTGCCTGTTGAGTTAAATATCGCACTTACATTTCAAATATATTGAAGTCCTATACGAATTTTTGGCACATGGATTATGTAGATCAAAAGCCTCTGAATGATAACGTGGTTCTGTGTGTTTAATGGACATTAAGGTGCCTGTAATTAGTCTGGTTTCTGCTGAAAAAAATGTAAAAAATAACTACCAGGTTATAGGACGAGTAACACTACCGCTGCAGCACAATGTTACAAACGGAGGCTACAGCTTTTAGATCAGTCGCGTTTGGTACTAAAACAAAGTTGCTGGAAAAGCTCAGCAGGCTCTGGCAGCATCCGTGAAGGAAATAAAACAGAGCTAACGTTTCAGGTCCGGTGTTTGATAGTGGGTGGTCTCCATCTGTGCTGTCCATAGCTTATTGTCGCCAGTCCAATTATACCACAACTGAGAGCAGTACTTGTGTCTATTGTGGACGGTGTTAAAGTCAGACTGCATCACAGGAGCGTGGGTACCCCTCTAAGTCTCACGTTGGGCTCAGAGTAGGCTTCGCATGTTTAGTACGAAGGCTCCCTGACCGGTGATGTTTCATTCCCTTCCACCGTCAGGGAAGGTTACAAACATTAAATACGTGAAGGGATGAGGAACGCCACAACACTGACCTTCATTCATCGATTTAGATTATCTCTAACCGATTCCAATACACTCAAGACTCTTTAATCAATGAAAGGATTTTCAAACCGCCGCTACTTCAAATTGGGAAGTCGACACCAAGTTTTAATATGTGGGTGCCTGGGCTTTTAAATAAATCTCGGTAAATCCTATTTGAGCCGTATTGACATGTGTTGTCTCACACATCTGACGGACAGATTGACTCTTTGTGTCACTTTGCATCCGCCAAATAACTGGAGTCGGAACTGGTCTCACACAGGACCAGGCAACAAAAGACCCACCAGGTTTTGTTTGTCAGCACTTGGGTTGAGCGTGCAGAGGTAACCCTGTTGAGTTGAAGGTGTCTGGCTTTGAGTTGGGGTTCAGTGCAAAACGTACATGCTAATGTACAGTAATCCTAGAATCATTAAATAAATTACATTCCAATAATACTTTATATTCTGTTTTCTGCTGTTTTCCCCAGTGAACTGCAACCATGAGCGCAGATGCAGAAATGGCTGCTTTTGGGGAGGCGGCGCCCTACCTACGAAAGTCTGAGAAAGAACGGATCGAAGCACAAAATCGACCCTTCGAAGCGAAGACTGCTTGCTTTTGCGTGGATCCGAAAGAGGAATTCACCAAAGGCAACATCAAGAGCAAGGAAGGTGGCAAAGTGGTCGTTGAAACCATAAATAAGCAGGTGTGAGCTTCAGAAAAGTGTAGCTCTAGAAAAAAAGCTTTTAACAATGTTTTTGTTTTAAGAACGTAACTAAAGATCTACTGGTCATTTTACAGACTGTAACTGTGAAAGAAGACGAAGTCTTCCCAATGAACCCTCCAAAATTCGATAAAATCGAAGATATGGCCATGATGACTCATCTGAGTGAACCAGCCGTGCTGTTTAACCTCAAAGAGCGTTATGCAGCTTGGATGATCTATGTAAGTGAACCCATCTCTCTCTGAGAAATAACAGCAGAAATGTTACTCATCGCTCAAAAGATTTTGCAGAATTTCTAACGCCCTTCGATTCTCTGCCTTCAGACCTACTCTGGGCTGTTCTGTGTCACGGTGAACCCCTACAAGTGGTTGCCAGTGTACAACCCCGAGGTCGTGGCGGCTTACAGGGGCAAGAAGCGTCAAGAGGCTCCTCCCCACATCTTCTCCATCTCTGATAACGCCTATCAGTTCATGCAAACTGGTAAGCTGGAAACTTCACTATCAATGCCGCTATCAACATCTGTTTTTAAACAAAAGAAAAACAACCAAAATTCATGTAAAAAGCTCCTAAGGGGCACTATAATAAAAGTTAAAATGTACCAAAAGAAATTTACCATTCAGGCCTTACATAAAAAAAAGTAGGGTCTTATGGTACAACCATGGTGTCCACACTTTTAGGCCAGAAGGTCCAGATTGAATCTGCGGCCTTCTGGCCCAGAAGTATGTCTGAACAGGTTGATTAAAATAAATAAAAGGTTTGGGGATAAGTGTTATCTCCAAACTGGAAATATTAGCATGTCCTTCTAAGTGACTTCATAGCACTTGGAGCCCTAGTGTGTCTTCTGAGTGTCTCCCGAAATAATCTATTCTAACTACATTATTTGGTCTCCATTTTTATACCCTGTTCTGTCATTCGAAGCCCCTACCTTTCACAAGTCCAGTTTTTTACAGTCATTTACCAATTATACCACAGCATGCATACAAGGCCCTGCTTGCTCAAGCTTCAGTCTAACAACCGGTAGTACCACTTATATTTCTCCTGCTGTGGCTGCCATCAGTGCAGCTGTGGCAATATGAAGGGGTATACATTGGGAATATCTTCCACTGCTGACATTTAGTGTCCATGATGGCCTCGTAATTCCATCAAAGACGCTTTGCTTTTACTTTTTACCCAATTAAGGCACTTAGCTTTGGTTCCCATGGGATTGAAGCAATCTCTCCTTGCTTATTCTCTTTTGTTTCAGGTCCTTTTGTAATTTAAACTATTTAGTCATATGACCCATTGCTCTCTTTTTTTCGTTTGGTTCACCTACAAACACTTTGTTAATGTTACCTGCAACTGCAAGGTATAAATGTCTCTTAGGATTAGATGGTAGTAGTATTCCAACAGCTACATGTTTTAATTATGCCTCATCCTAAGAAGCAACTGGTGAATGCTGTGGAGTATGGTAGATCCTAACAGTTGTTTATTTTCTGTTTCCAGACCGTGAAAATCAGTCCATCCTGATCACGTAAGATTTTTTGAGCTCTTGTGTACATATTTAGCACCTGAAAATCACAGTAATTTTGATTTTAAAAAACGTCTTGAAAATGTTTTATTGGTTCTCTGTTCTGTCCTTAGTGGAGAATCTGGTGCTGGGAAGACTGTGAACACGAAACGTGTCATTCAGTACTTTGCCTTGGTTGCAGCCGGTTCAGATGCCAAGAAGAAGGAGAAGGAGCAAACTGGCTCTCTAAAGGTAAATCAACATGTTCTAAATGAATGTTTAAACTGAAGAAAGCCCTAAACATTCTGTTATAAAATGGCAACAAATCATTTGGTGATAATATAAAAATGACTTTTTGTCATAATTTGCTGGCAATGGAACATTAATAGCAGTTTAGCACATCAGAAAATATATTTGGATGCAATTAAACCAAGGACTTTTCTTCATAGTTTAGATAAAATTACATTAAAATTACAACACAGAAATGTTCTAGTGGGTCTAATTAGCTACTGTTGGAGACTATCATCCAGAGAAGCAGTTATCAAAGGCTTGTGCATTCGATTTGTTGCCATTTCATTAAATTCCTAGTTTGGGGAATGTAAAACCTGGAGAGACAGCCTCAAGATGTGAAGACTGAGACAAGGAGAAATGTCTTTATTCAGAGGGTTGTGAATCTTTGGAATTCTCTATGCCAAATGATTATAGATGCTCCATTGTTGAATAAATCTAATGTTGAGACAGACAGGTAGTTGCTCCCTCAGGAATGTAATGACCAGGAGTTGAGGGGGAGGAGGAGAAATTTGAGTTGAAGCCGATGGTCAGCCAAGATTATATTAAGTGGCGAAGCACATTCATGCTGTTTTCTCTGGCTCCTATTTCCTATCTTGCACTTTTCCCCAACTACCTACATAACCAATTATTTTGCAACTCTTGAAATTCACCACAACTTACATTTATATAATATTTTTAGCATGACAAAACATCTTAGGGTGTTTCTCATGAGCACTATAAAACAATACATGACACTGAATCACAAAAAAAAAGGTGAGCAAATGCTTAGTCAAGGAGTTTAGGTTTTAAGGAATCTTTTAAATGAGAAAATGAGGTATGAAAACAGACAGGTGCAAGTTGAGATTTGCACAGTTTATGACCTACGCAAGTGAAGGCACAGCCACCAGTGTTGGAACAATTATAATCAGAGATGCTGAAGAGCTCAGAATTAGATAAGCACAGATATCTCAGAATTTTGTTGGGCCGCAGGACATTAAAGAATTGGACTGAACAAACCCATGGAGGAACTTGAAAATATGGATGAGAATTAGGGAGGAGCCAATATAGACTACTGAACACAGGTGAGAGAGATGAATGGAATTGAATGAGGCAGAAATGTCTTGGTCAATGTGTATATCTGCATATGAATTAGAAGTGGGTCATTCAGCACTTCAAGACTGCTCTGCCATTCAATAAGATCATGATTCATCTCTTTATGTTTTGAGTTCCACATTCCTGTTTACCTCCTACAAACTGTGATTTGTTTTCCTTACAGGAGTCTATCAATATTCTATATTCGACTACCTTGCCTTTCTGCCTTCATAGACACAAAAGCTCCAAAACCACACAACTCTCTGAACAAAAAACATCCTCCTCATTTTTGTCCTGGAAGTATAATCCTTCAATTTAAAACAGGACTGGACTCACACACAAAGGGAAAATACATTCTAAGCTTACCTCATCAAAACAATTTAGGATCATTAATATTTGAATCAAATTACCCCTTACTCTTCTAAACTCCAGTCCAACCTGATCACTCCGAGTATCAATTGAATAAACCTCCTCTGAACTACCTCCAATGCATTTACAGCTTTTCTTAAATCAGGAGACCAAAACTGCGCACAGTATTCAAGATATGGTCTCACCAATACCTTGTATAACTGAAGCATACACTCTTATTTTCATGTTCAGTTCATCTCATAATAAAGGATAGCATATAAGTGACCTTTTTAATTACATGCTGACCTCAAGCTTCAGAGAATGTGGGAGAGTGCATTGAAAGAGTTGAGCCCAGAGGTAACAAAGGAATGAATTAATATTTGAACGGAAGATGAGAGGGAGATCGAATGCGAATGTCAGATAAGGAGTTTGATAATTGAGGAAAAGTGGAGGGGTCAAGACAGGAGGTGCTGAGTTAGAACTGGATGTCTTCAGTGTAAAGGTGAAAACTAACATGGTGCATTTAAATGAAGGTACCAAGGGGCAACAGGCAGATGAGAGTAAAGAGGGAATCAAGAGGAGATCGTGGTTGGGAAAATGGAGAGCACTGTGGGGGAGGGGGGGGTGGGGTGCAAGAAGTATTTACAAGTGATTCTTTGGCTGTATTTGAGAATGTCTATGCACCTGTTGTTAACTCTGGTAATGTATTCTAGTCTCACAGCCCTGTGAGTTAAAAGAAAGCTTCTTCTTGCTATTCCAAATCTCTTACATCTCCAAGTTACTTCTTGCTAGACACCTCAACTGCGTATAAAAGCACTGCAGATACTCAAAATCTGAAATAAAAATAGAAAATGCTGGAGAATGTCAGCAGGTCTGGCAGCATCTGTGGAGAGAGAAATAGAGTTAATGTTTTGAGTCTGATATAACTCTGGTTCAGAATGTATTTGTTCTGCAGAAGAGTCATATTGGTCTCAAAATGTTAACTCTAATTTTCTCTCTCCACAGATGCTGCCAGACTTGCTGAGGTTCTCCACATTTTCTGTCTTCTTTGAAATGAATTGTTTATTTGCATTGACTATCACACCTTCGAAGCACCTCTAACGAATCATGCTGTAATTACATTGTTCTAACAAAGTGCAGCTTTGATTTTTCCTTTTCATGGTCATACTAGTTAAACATTATCATGTTCACATTGTTTTCAACTAAGAAATTAATTATTTCATTATTAACACTTGTCAAATACACTTCTAGGGAACACTGGAGGATCAAATCATCCAAGCTAACCCTCTGCTGGAAGCTTTTGGTAATGCCAAGACAGTGAGAAATGACAACTCGTCTCGCTTTGTAAGTGTTTGGACAGCACCAATGTTAAAAGTTAATTTTAATCATGTTAAACAGCAGGAAATAAACTAAACAAAACTTTAAAAGCACATTTAATACTCATTTTGTGAAACATCTCTCAAAGAGTTCAGCTAACTATATTTCTAAAATTTTATTTCCAAGGGTAAATTCATAAGAATTCACTTTGGAGCCACAGGAAAACTGGCCTCCGCTGATATTGAAACTTGTAAGTGCTTATCAGTCTCATACATACTCATATAAGTTTGAAATGCTCCAATCAATTTATTAAGGAGGCAATATTCCTAATTAGTTCTAATGTTCCAAATACAGATCTGCTGGAGAAATCCAGAGTTACATTCCAGTTAAAAGCTGAAAGAAGCTATCACATTTTCTACCAGATTACAAGCAACAAAAAGCCAGAACTTATCGGTAAGAGATCTGGAGATAAAGTTAGTTGAAATTTTCACCAATTGTTGCTTTTTTATTAGTAGGTTTCAAGCACATTTATTACTAAAATAAAAGTATTTAAAATTCACCAATTTATGTGCTGCTATTATTTGATTTCAGAAATGTTACTCATTACCACCAACCCCTACGACTTCCATTTTGTTAGCCAGGGGGAGATCAGTGTTCCCAGTATCGATGACGAGGAGGAACTGATGGCAACTGATGTAAGTTTATTCTCTGTGCTTGCGAATTTCAAATTTCCATCCCTTTTTCAGAGCACTCTCATGTTACTGATTACTCTTGTTGTTTGCTAGGAAGCCATTGACATTTTGGGCTTTACAAGTGAAGAGAAAACAGGCATCTACAAACTTACCGGTGCAGTAATGCACTATGGCAACCTAAAGTTCAAACAGAAACCACGAGAGGAACAAGCAGAGCCTGATGGCACTGAAGGTAACATGAAAGCAATTGAACATGGTGAAGAATGTTATAAAGCATAATAATGTGTCTTGCATCTCAAAATATTGGTATGATACAGAACTGGAAGTTAAATTTGCACAAGTAAAAGAGACTGAGGGATAGAATCTCGTGCCTACCTTGATAAGTTCTTTTGTTGCAACATGGATAATGGAACATAACTGTGTCCTTTGTTTGGAGAATTGACCTTTTGTCAAATCTGTAATATTGGTGAATATTGTTCCTCTGTTTACTTATCATTGAGACCACTAAGCTGTTCATGAGCTATAGGTAATGACAAATTCTAATAAACTAAGGGATCACAAATGTTTTACTGGTGCTGCATTATGCATGAAGAATTCACAAGTGATGTGCTACCATATGAATCACTTCACATGGTAGGCCAATATTCTGTGCTTCTTTTGTATTAAGGCCGTTTGGCATATCATGTTTTTGTTGGATCATTAATACTGCTACTCTTGCTCTTTCCCCATGACCCTTGAATGTATTTCCTTCAATTATTTGTTCAATTACTTTGAAAGTTACCATCAAATCTGCTTCAACAACTCTTACAATCAGGGGTTTGCAGATCTTACAATTTGTTACATTCAAGAAGGTTCCTTCTGAAGCCTAATGGGTCTTACATATTATATAAGAATGTACAAGGAAACAACTTAATCAATACACAATGTTGCAATTTGTTTGAGTAATATTATTAATTAATCACATCCAGTTGCCCCCAGTGACAATGATTGATATAGTTCCGCGTATGCTTCTCACACATTTTATGCAGGTAAAGCTTGTGAATTACTACTTCTACATTTGGGGTTTTGAGTAAAGGCAAGGATGGAAATTTAATAAAGTACCATTGTGCATCAGTAAAATCCTAGCAGTAACTTGGAATTTGAATTTCCTCAGGGCTTGTCCTGACCCATCCCAATTACTATTGTGCAAATTCAAGAGAAACCCTCATCTGTTAGATTATAACTGAAAGTTGGGAGTCTTGCACATGTTAGAAATCTTGATGTGTTTCACAGGTGCATTATTAATGAAAATTTGACACTTGGCGATGTTGAGGAACTTAGTCGTAAAGGTAGGTTTTAAGCAGCATCTTAAAAGTGTAGACAGGGAGAGAGAATAGGCTTGATATCGGAACTCCAGACCAGAATTGGAAGACCACAGAGAATTCAATGGAGATTCAAGAGGGTGAGGTGAGGTGAGATGAAGGCATGAAAGAATTTGAACACAAGGATGAGGGTTCTAAACCTGACATCTGACTGAACCAATAAAGTGACATGGATCCAAGATGAAACTTAGAAGTAGAACAAAATGGTTAGAAGAAAGGAAAACAGAACAGATCTGACACAAATCAGGGTATGACAAATTATGGCAAATAGAGAGAGCCCAGCTCAATGACAGCTTGTCCAGATTGGTTTATCAGTCAGGTGGACCAACATTTTTTTTCTTTTTATGCTGAGAAAATTGCAGCTAGGCAGAAATGTTCTCTACTTGTTGTTAAGTGACATCAATTGGTTCAGTGCTGGAAAGTTGGGTCTTTCCACCTAGAACCTAATTGGAGTAGTTGGGATCATGACAGGATATGAATGTTAACTCCCTGTCTAATTATGCTGCTTTCCCACATTAATGCTGACCACCTTTGGGACTGGAAGATTTTGCCTATTAGTTGTATTTCACTTTCTATGAATGCTTAAGTCTTAAGTATTTCCAGCATTTTCTGTTTCCAAAATACAGAAAAAGAAAAGGTAAGTTTTGGCACAAATGCTCAAATTCAAGGACAAAATATTTCCAGTGGCAGGAGGTTCTTTAACCAAAGGTCAAAGATCTAAGCTAATTAGTAAAATACATAGAGATGAGATGAGTAAAAGAGAATTTGTTTTTTGACAGTGAGCTTTTAAATCTGGAATGCATATTCTGTACAGTGATAGAAGAAGATGCAATAATACCTTTCAAATTGTTATTGGATAAATGCAGGAAAGGGAAATATTTCCAAGGCTGAATGCAAAGTGCAAGACAGTAGAATAATTCTTTCAAATGGCTGGTACAAGCATGATAGCTGGTTTCATTCACCTTACAGTATGACTGAACCACTTTTCTCCTTTTTAGTTGCTGACAAAGCTGCTTATCTGATGGGTCTCAACTCTGCTGATTTACTCAAATCTTTGTGTTTCCCACGAGTAAAGGTTGGCAATGAATATGTGACAAAAGGTCAGACTGTACAGCAGGTACTGTATTGACTTCTGATGTCCATCTGGTGAAATTGTTCGTTAGTGTTCTGATGTACATTCTGTCACTGTTGTGTATTTTGTCTTGATAGGTGAACAATGCTGTTGGTGCCCTTGCAAAATCAGTCTATGAGAAAATGTTCTTGTGGATGGTGATTCGTATCAACCAGCAATTGGACACAAAACAGCCCAGGCAGTTTTTCATTGGTGTGCTGGACATTGCTGGTTTTGAAATCTTTGATGTAAGCTACATTACATTATTTTTGGGGAATATCTAAACTGTATGTATTATTGTGATGTTAGTTGATATTTTATGAATGGGAAATTAATACCTACTGTGTACTCCAGATGACAAGTTAGATGGTTGGGATCATTTACATCAAGTACTCCATGTCTTAAAGTATAATCTTTTATTTTGTATTTGTGTTATACGTTCCTATGCATACATTTAAAATGAAAACTATTTATGTAAACTTGCCTTAGTGTAATTATGCTCCCCTGCCACTAGTGACATTTCAATTGTGCCACTTGGAGTAAGGGAGTCAGTTATGGTTCACTGATAGCAGGCACCCCTATGAACTAGAACACGTACGTTCTAGCACTATTTCAGAGACTTGATAATCCAGGCTGACATTTCAGTATGGAGAGAATACTGTGCTCTTTTTTGGGTAAGGCATTAAATGGTGGCCCCCTTTTGATCTCTTAGGTGGATGTAAAACATCCCATTACTGTTTAAAGAAGGACAGAAGATTCGTTTCCGTTGTCTGACCAGTAGTTATCCCTCAACCCACATAGATCATCTAGTCATTCCTGCTTGTGTGACTATGCACTGTACAAAAGTGTTGTCTTTTTCTCACATTAAAACAGTGGTGACATTCTAAAGCAGTTAATAAGTTCTGATGTACTTTAAAACATATGGAAGTCATGCAAAGTACCATAAATGTCAATGGAAAGTGTTTCTTTCTTTACATAGTGATATGATTACGTAGGCTGTTTCATTATAATACTTCCATATGAATTTATACTATAACACATTAATACGTTGTGTTTTGGCTATACTATTTTTAATGTTTTACGAATCAATTTTATAATCATCAAAAGCAGACTGCAGATAAAACAAGATTAGAGGGCAAGGGATAATTGGACCTGGTCTACAGATCTAATCTAGTCTGCATTCTGTTATTTTTATATACAAATAAATATATATATAATAATATATCATATTATAAAGTTCTAAATTCATAAGTAAAATGGTATTTATGTTTAAACCTGTCACAAAATAATTGCAACGGTTGTGCTATAGCACCTCCATTGGAGTAGGATGTAATTACAGGCTGCAAAATTTAAATTGGTGATTTTCATTATAAGTATGTACACATACATATGAAAAGGTGGAAAATGAGAGGGATGGTTCACAAATGTAAAAAAAAATGTTCTAACTGTATACAAATGGTGCTTACTTTCATTATGCTTTTTTTTTAAACAAAGTGGACAATTCAATGACTATCTCTTTTAATTGCTGTATACAATACAGTTAATCACTTTTAATTGCTCTATATTATGCAGTTCAACAGCTTTGAACAGTTATGTATAAACTTCACTAATGAGAAGCTGCAGCAATTCTTCAATCACCACATGTTTGTTCTGGAACAAGAAGAGTACAAGAAGGAAGGAATTGAATGGGAATTCATTGATTTTGGTATGGATCTGGCTGCTTGCATTGAGCTCATTGAAAAGGTGAGAACATTAAAATAATATATGTAAGGATTGATGCTAATAATGGACACATGATATGATTGTAGCTGCTACATATGCTTATAATTGAATGAACATTTGATGCACTTTATTCCAATATATGTATACCTCAATTAACAGCCCATGGGGATTTTCTCAATCCTGGAAGAGGAGTGTATGTTTCCCAAGGCTTCAGATACCACCTTCAAGAATAAGTTATATGATCAGCACCTTGGAAAATCCAAAAACTTTCAGAAACCCAAGCCTGCTAAGGGCAAGGCTGAAGCTCACTTTGCCTTAATCCACTATGCTGGCATTGTGGACTACAACGTCAGTGGTTGGCTGGAAAAGAATAAGGACCCACTCAATGAAACTGTTATTGGGCTATACCAGAAGGCTTCTCTGAAACTGTTGCAAACACTTTATGCTGGTCATTCAGCAGAAGGTATGATTTAATCATTAATTTTGAGAATATTTTGTCCATACATTTTCCATTACTAATTGCTGAAAATATGTCCTTGCAGCTGAAGCTGGTGGCAAGAAAGGAGGCAAAAAGAAGGGTTCATCTTTTCAGACTGTCTCAGCTTTGTTTAGGGTATGTTTTCTTTTTAATATATTAGAACTGCATAATTTAGCTTGGAGTGATTACTTCAGAGAAGTATTCTCTCAGGAAAATGATGTTGGTGAACAGTCCTGTACTATTAATTTAGAGACTGAGGCTTTGAGGACTGGAATTCAAGTTCCACTAATGATTGTGGAATTTAAATTCTATTAATAAAATCTAGAATTGAAGGTTTTTCTCAATAATGCTGACCATGCTTGTTGTAATAAATACCTTTTAAAGAAGCAAGTTTGTCATCCATAACTGTGACTTCAGATCTACAGTACTCTTAACTGCCCTCGAAAATGGCCTAGCAAGCTTCTCAATTCAAGGACAATTACAGATGGATAACAAATGCTGGCTTACTAGTAACACATGCGATGTCAAATTAACAATTATGGTCACAGGGTCACAGTTCAAGAATATCAGGTAGATCATTTAGGACTAAGATGAGGATAAATTTCTTCACCCAGAGTCTGGTGAGCATCTGGAATTCTCTGAGGTGAATTAAGACCAAAGCACTGAATATTTTCAGGAGGCAGTTGGACAAAGTCATTAGAGCTAAAGGGATCTGAGGGTATGGGAAGAGAATGGGAATTGGTACTGACTTAGATGATTAGCCATCATCATATTGAATATTGGGGTAAGTTTGAAGGGCTGAGTGGTTTACATCTATTCTTAATTTCTACGTTCCTACGTAATAAAAATAAAATATAGAAGGTGACGATCACGTCCATGATGGTTCTTTTAATGGGTGAAAGATATATGCATTTTCAACATAATACTACTGTTATTGAGGACTTAGAATGGAGCTTCATTCTTGGAAAACTTGAAAAAATTCTTGGTTATAATTTTCCCAGGCTGCTTACAGAGTCTGTTGGAAATAAAAGAAAAGCAAGCCAGGGTAGATTACCAGCTGATTCAAATGGCTGCATAAATTTATACCAATAGAGCATAATGGTAAACACAGGTTAATAGAAATGCTTCAAACATAATGAAGATAACTTGTCTTCTACAGGAAAATCTGAATAAATTGATGACTAACTTGAGGTCTACTCACCCACATTTTGTGCGCTGCATAATTCCGAATGAGACAAAGACACCAGGTAGTTGAAATATATTGTATTAGAATTCAAACAAACAAATCTTGTAACAGAATACAGCATTTACGTTTCTATTCACCAGTAAATATCCAATCACATTGACAATTGGAATAAAAATGTAGCTAAAAGAAAAAATATCACTACCATTCCTTTCATTTCTTAGGTGCTATGGATAATTACTTAGTTATGCATCAGCTCAGATGTAATGGTGTACTTGAAGGAATCAGAATCTGCAGAAAGGGATTTCCAAGTAGAATTCTGTATGGTGACTTTAAGCAAAGGTAAGAATCTATGTAAATGCACAATGTTTTGATGAAAATTAACATGGAGCTGCACTTTTTAAAATTCTTAAACATTAAACATAACAGATACAGGATTCTGAATGCAAGTGCAATTCCTGAAGGACAGTTCATTGATAGCAAGAAAGCATCTGAAAAACTCTTGAGTTCCATCGATGTTGATCACACCCAGTACAAGTTTGGTCATACTAAGGTCAGTGACCATTTTATAAATGTGTCTAATATTTTACAATGTGATGAATGGACTTTGTCACCATCTGAAACTACTTGCTTCATTAAAGGTGTTTTTCAAAGCTGGTCTCTTGGGTCTTCTTGAAGAGATGAGAGATGACAAGTTGGCAGAACTTGTTACCCGCATACAAGCTGTCAGCCGCGGATTTCTCATGAGAGTTGAATTCAAGAAAATGATGGAGAGAAGGTAAAGTTAACCTACATCTTTCTGATATGAATTGTATAAAGGGATGGAAAGTTCAGTCATGTATAGATATTGTTTATACAATTATCTTTGTCATTTTCTCCTCCAGAGAATCTGTCTTTACCCTGCAGTACAACATCCGTGCATTCATGAACGTCAAGCACTGGCCGTGGATGAAACTGTTCTTCAAGATCAAGCCTCTTCTAAAGAGCGCTGAATCTGAAAAGGAAATGGCAAACATGAAAGTGGAATTTGAAAAGACTAAAGAAGCACTAGCTAAATCTGAAGCAAGAAGAAAGGAATTGGAGGAGAAAATGGTGACACTGGTACAGGAAAAAAATGACCTGGTTCTTCAAGTGCAATCGGTATGCTTTCTTGTTAGAGAAATGTTCTTATACATCAAGTTTGAATTCCAGGATCACCCCTATCCCATATGAGTGGTAGGTAGGTGTTGAAAAGAGCAAATAATTGGGTAGATTGACACCAGGCACCATCTTCCCATCACCTGAGCAATTAAGTGCTGGGCAGGAAGGTCCATGGTCAACCGTCACCAATAAAGACACTTCAACTGTCAATTAATGACTAAATTTATCCCAGTAACATGGGGCTGATTGGGGGCATGAATGGGGATTAGTGAGGTGGCCTCTGAAATCAATCCCCCCACCCTTGCCTCTGACTCCCTCTCCCTACATTGCTCCCCCATCATCCCAGCCCTGCCTCGGTAATAGTTTCTCATGATGTTTGCTGCCAGCCTTGGATTGACACATGCTTCAAACAGGGCCAGGCCTCGCTGTCCCGGGACTTGAATCATGAAGAATGACTAATTAACTGCCTGATTGCCACTTGTTCATGGGTGCTTTCCAACTGGTGGAGAAGCAGAAATCGCACTCTTAAATACTTCTCTACTCCTCCACAAAATCCTGACCACAATTCTTGATAAAAATAATTCAGTGCAGACTTTGTTACTTAGATAGTTCAACTTCTACTGAAGTAAATGAACATTTAAACTTCTACAGCTTCTCAATGAAACTTTGCACTCATCATGTAGGACGTTAAATGCTTTTGTCCATTATTTTCGCACACACCAAGCATCACACCTTTTACTGATTAGGAAGGAGTTCAAGGGTTAGAGGGAGAAAGCAGGAGAATGGGGTTGAAAAACACATCAGCCATGATCGAATGGCAGAGCAGATCTGCTGGCTGAATAGCCTAATTGTGCTCCTGTATCTTATGGTCTTACTCCACTCCATATATCAGTCCTGAAACAAGCTTGCGACTTCTTCGTTTCTGACCTTCTGGTATTTCAGAGGTTGACCATCATTCTAAATTTGTATAGAAATATTGCCAGTTAATGCTAAATTATGGGCAAATGCAGCAAGGATGACAGTATGAGTGCAATTTCAATTCCAATATTCTTGGTGATATGAAATTTAGACCTCAGAATTGAAACTTTGATATCAGTAAAAAAACATGTCTTGATACCTCTGCTTTGATGAGCCAATTAAAAAGTGCTTTTACTCAATGATCAAAGTTTGTCAAAGAATATATACGCCCAAATACGTTGGCATAATTCTGATTATTTGAAACATTGCACTTGTTTCAAACTGTCTCTCAAATTAGTGACATGTTGGATCAAGTTTTCATAGCATGTCAAGGATGGGAACCAAGGCAGACACACTCTTGAAATCTCACCACCATGTAGCATGATGGATTTCTGACAAGATTCTGGCTCATTGTTGATTTTTGCAAAGAAGGTACGATTTGGCAGGCTTCCTAAAAAGGGTCTGTCTGTAATAAAATATGAGAATGAGCAAATTGTTAACTTGCTGACGGGCCAATTACAATACTTTAAAGGAGGCAAGAGACACACAAAGGATCTCAAAGCTGATCCATGAGACAGAGATAGGCTGTTATGGACAGATGTTATTCGGAACACTGTATAAGAAAAGCAGGTTTCAAGGATGACATCCTGCATAAGCACACAATGGACGTTGTGTTTTTGATGCTCTTTCAGAGGGTAATCAATGCAAGCTGGGGCAGTTGTGGGCAGTATGCTGGGGAATGAGCCATCATAGATCATGGGGCATAGCAGGGATTGCAAAAAAAAAATGATGCTGCTGGACACGGGCAGGGGTTTTACTGGAATTCAGAACAAGCTTCTATGAATTGCGTATCAATGAGGAAGAAGTTCAGTAGCAATAATGGCAGATCCTTGACTTTGAGAGACAAAACGGTGTGGAATGATGGCTGGGAGACAACAAAGATGATACAGTGTCTATAAAGTGTACTGAGGAAGAATAAGCTTCCTAAGACTGCCAGAGTGTCAGTATAACAGGAGGCCTACTGCAGTCATGCACAGGAAATAGAATGCTTCACATGTGACATGGCCACTGCCCCTAAAATATCCTCAAGACAGGGGTATCAGTCAGTAACACAGTAGTCCTTTCACATGTACCTGCTCTGCTGCTGGGCTACCTATCTCCTCTTTCTTTCATTGGAGCACAAGAACAAGAGCAGAGGCTCCATCAATAATTTTATCATGGTAGATCATTACCTCAACATCACTTGACTATGCTATCCTCTCGGTGTCATTAGTATCCAGAAAATAAATCATCAACCACAATAATGACCCCAGCTTCCATTCAATCTGAATTCAACATATTCCTCTCCCACTCATTTTCCACCATGCCAACCCTATTTGGACCTCTTTAAAATTACATGCAGTGGCCAGGAAATCCTCCCAATGTCAGGGCCCCACCAGAAATTAAAATCCAGCCCATTGTCCTGGGTTGCATTCAATGAAATTTTTACGTATCATGATCTTGGTTAATAAGAATGCACTTTTTGTCTGTCAGGAAAGTGAAACACTGGCAGATGCTGAAGAAAGATGTGAAGGTCTTATTAAAAATAAAATTCAACTTGAGGCTAAACTTAAAGAAGCAAATGAAAGGCTAGAGGATGAAGAGGAAATAAATGCTGAGCTTACTGCCAAGAAAAGAAAATTGGAAGATGAGTGCTCAGAACTGAAAAAAGATATCGATGACTTGGAGCTTACTTTAACCAAAGTTGAAAAGGAGAAACATGCTACAGAAAACAAGGTATGAATATATGTAAATTTAAAATAATGGTTTGCACAATCTGAGTGTCCTTCTAATTTTGTTTTAGAATGTATGGTGTTAATTTTGCCAATTTAGGGGGTCAGTTAGGTCAGTTGGTTGGACAGCCGGTTTGCGATGCACATGATACTACCTGTGTGGGCTCAGTTCCCAGATAGGCTGAGGTTACCATGAAGGATTCTTCCTCTCAACATCTCCCCTCACCTGAGATGTAGTGACCCACAATTAAAACCACCACCAGTTGACTCTCTCCCTAATGAGAGAGCAGCCCTATGATTTGTTAAGATTATAATGACTTTACCTGTTGCCAATCTTATAGAATGGCAAAACACATTTTTTTCTGAACCATGTCAAAACAATTGACTCATGTGAGTGATGTTACAAATGGTAGATAGTAGTGGAATTTATATACTGTTTTGTACAAACAGGTCAAGAACCTTACAGAGGAAATGGCCACCCTTGATGAAAGCATTGTCAAGTTAACAAAGGAAAAGAAAGCTCTACAAGAGGCCCACCAGCAGACATTGGATGACCTGCAAGCTGAGGAAGACAAAGTCAATACACTCACCAAGGCCAAGTCGAAATTGGAACAGCAAGTTGATGATGTAAGTATCCATTGCAATAAAAACTAAAATATTCCATCATAGGTCCTTTCTTCCTGCTATCACTCTTAAAAATGTGTGCTTGGTTTTACTCTGTATGTTATCAGCTCGAAGGATCTCTGGAACAAGAGAAAAAACTACGCATGGATCTTGAAAGGTCCAAGCGAAAACTGGAAGGTGACCTTAAATTAGCTCATGAAATAATAATGGATCTGGAAAACGACAAGCAGCAAATGGATGAGAAACTGAAAAAGTAAGAAGAATTGCCACTCTTGTTATAGCTAGCTAGGCTGTGTCATATTTTTCTATAGAAAATATATTTAAATTGATCTATTTGCATTACAGAAAGGAATTTGAAATTAGTCAACTACTAAGCAAGATTGAGGATGAGCAGGTCCTAGGTGGTCAGCTACAAAAGAAAATCAAAGAGCTTCAGGTGAGTCACAAGGTTTACAGAATTTTGAATAACTTATGTATCATGCATGATCGCATAAAACACAGGTAAAGCTATATACCTTTTTACTTTAGGCTCGTATTGAAGAGCTTGAGGAGGAAATTGAAGCTGAACGTGCCTCTCGTGCTAAGACTGAGAAGCAGAGAGCTGACCTTGCTCGGGAACTTGAAGAAATCAGTGAACGACTAGAAGAAGCTGGAGGTGCGACTGCAGCACAGATTGAAATGAACAAGAAACGTGAAGCGGAGTTTCAGAAGATGCGGCGCGATCTGGAAGAAGCAACCCTCCAGCATGAAGCCACAGCTGCTGCTCTTCGTAAGAAGCAGGCTGATAGTGTGGCTGAACTTGGGGAACAAATCGACAACCTGCAACGTGTGAAACAGAAGCTGGAGAAGGAAAAGAGTGAGCTGAAGATGGAAATTGATGACCTGGCTAGTAACATGGAATCCATGTCCAAATCTAAGGTATGTTTCTGAAAAACTATGATTGTTGGATGAATTAAGAAGCTCTTTGGTTTAACATATGACACTGACAGACACAATTTCCTTAAAAGGCTAACTTTGAGAAGCTCTGTCGTACTCTTGAGGACCAACTTAGTGAGGTGAAGGCAAAGAATGATGAGAACGTACGTCTGGTTAATGACCTGGCAGCCCATAAGGCTCGTCTGCAAACTGAAAATGGTAATTGTTGGAATGAAGTCAGAATTTAGAGCATTTAAGCATACTGCCATTTATCCTTCAATTTTAAAACTTGGGTTGCAATCAATCCTTCATTTGTTCCCAGGCGAGTTTTCACGCCAAATGGAAGAAAAGGATTCCCTAGTTTCTCAACTGACAAGAGGAAAACAAGCATTCACTCAACAGATTGAAGAGCTAAAAAGACAACTGGAAGAAGAACTGAAGGTATTTAACTCTACAGGCAATCTAAATATGATAAACCGAGATAAAATGGTGAACAGATTGGCCAGATGCCAAGTGTATGTCACAGTTTTGTGAAAAAACTTTGGTGTCTATCATTCCATTCAGCAGACTAATGAGCAAGAATCTTAATTAAAACTAGAGAAAAAAATTCATTCAGTATCCACTTTCTCTTTAAACTGATGTTTGCATTAGGGTTAGTAATAAATTGCACAGTCCACAAGTTAATATTTAGTGCATGCATACATTTTCCAGATGGGTTTTTGTAATTCTTGAATGCCACTCATATATTTTAGTACTTGAAATACAGGATTATTTAAGCTTTTCACTTTGTCATTTCCTTTCATTCATATTTTGTATAAAGGCTAAGAACGCCTTGGCACATGCTCTGCAATCTTCCCGCCATGACTGTGATTTGCTCCGTGAACAATATGAAGAGGAACAGGAGGCAAAGGCCGAGCTCCAGCGCGGCATGTCCAAGGCCAACAGTGAAGTTGCTCAGTGGAGGACAAAATACGAAACTGATGCAATCCAGCGCACAGAGGAACTGGAAGATGCCAAGTGTGTACAGATTACCATATTCTTTTACTTACAACTTAAAAGATAGACAGGCCATGCTGTCTGGCTGTTCTGTAGCAGTGGCTTTATGCTCTGCACAAGATTCCTATCACCTTACTTTATGCATCCGCATCAAAATATCCTCTATTCCTTTCTCCTTCATGCAGTTAGCTAATCTCTACATACATGCATATATTGTAGCCTCTGCGTTAATGAGGTTCACCCTAAGTATCTTCTGGCTAAAGAAGTTTCTTCCAAATTTCCTATAAGATTTCTTGGTAATTATTGTATAATTATGGATCCCAGTTTTGGACTTCCCTTGCGTGGAAACATCTCTATGTCAAGCCTATAAAGACTCTTGCTAATTTGAAACAGCTCTGTTAAGTAACCCATAAACCTTCCTTTTGTTAAAAAGGGCATCAGATCATTCAATAATTCCTGATAGTTGTAACTTCTCAGTTCTTAAATTATACTTGTAAAACCTTTCCGGCACCTTCTCCAGTTCCATCAGATCATCTAATCAAATCAAGACCAGAGTACTGAGCGGTATTTCAATTTTTCAAACCACTGTAATTATTTGCCAGGAAAAAACTTGCCCAGCGACTCCAAGAGGCTGAGGATCAAATCGAGGCAGTAAATTCCAAGTGTGCTTCACTGGAAAAGACTAAGCAGCGATTACAAAATGAAGTGGAAGATCTAATGATTGACGTGGAGAGAGCTAATGCTGCTGCAGCCGCTCTTGATAAAAAGCAAAGGAATTTTGACAAGGTGAGGTAATGGCCTTGTGTCAATATTATTGGGTAAGGCCAGTGTCAGCCAATCCCATTCACTTCACATGATATCAAAAAGATAGCTGAAAGTACTAGGCACTGTAAAAGTTATAGGCCCTGATAATGTTCTGGCAAAAGTACTAAAGATTTGTGCTGCAGAACCAGCTGCACTCTTAGCCAAGCAGGTCCTATACAGCTACAAAACTGGTGTGTACCTGGCAAATTGGAAAACTTGCTTTCAACAGCACTTTCCAAACCTGTGATATTTATCATGTTGAAGGACAAGAGCAGCAGATGCATGGGAATACCATGCTGTAAGCTCCTCTTCAAGCCACAGATCATCCTGTCTTGGAACTGCACAACTGTTTGTTCACTATCATTGGGACAAAATCTTAGAACTCCCTTCCTAAAAGCACTTTGAGTTTACCTACTCTCCATGGATTACAATGGTTCGAGGAAGCAGCTCACCTCTTCCTTCTTAAAGTCAAAATTCAGTCCGATAAAAATAGCAAAGTTATGAGCCTTTTTGCCTGAGGATAAAGTATGACTTTTTAACTGTTGTGTCCGGACAGATTCTGGCAGACTGGAAACAAAAGTATGAGGAATGCCAATCTGAATTGGAGGCATCTCAGAAGGAATCTCGATCTTTAAGCACCGAACTCTTCAAAATGAAGAATGCTTATGAGGAATCTTTGGACCAACTTGAAACACTCAAGCGAGAGAACAAGAATCTTCAACGTGTGTTATTTTTTACATTTATAGCATTTTTTTAGCCTGTTTTACTCTCTTGTGTAATCCCAGTTTTAATTCTGCTGCTGTTGGTGGCCATGGCCAGCTCTTTAAGCTCTGTAATTCTCTTTCTAAAACTTGCTGGCTCATCACCTCTTCTCCTTCTTCAGAATGTTATATGAAGCATTCCTCTTTGGGCAAACTTTTGATTGCCTGTTCTAATATTTTGTTTGGCCCGGTGTCAAATTTTATTTTCTAATATCACTCTGAAAATATTTAAAACAGTTCGCTACATTAAAGATATTATAAATTGATTTTTTTTGCTGTAGAGAAAGTAGAGACTTACTGCTATGCATTATGTTTCTTTAAACAGAGGAGATCTCAGATTTGACTGAACAGCTCGGAGAGAGTGGCAAGGCACTACATGAGATAGAAAAGGCTAAGAAACAGGTTGAGACAGAAAAGAGTGAAATCCAGACTGCCCTGGAAGAAGCGGAGGTATGTGATTTTCATTGAAGAGATTACACCATTTCCAACAAGATTTAAAGCGGGCTAAACACACAGCATCCAAGACTTTGGCTTAAAACAAATCTATTTTTTTTCTTACATAGGCTTCCCTTGAGCATGAAGAAAGCAAATTTATGCGTATCCAGCTGGAGTTAAATCAAGTAAAGTCAGAAATCGACAGAAAGATTGCTGAGAAAGATGAAGAAATTGATCAAATTAAGAGGAACAATCAGAGAGTCGTAGACACTCTGCAAACATCTCTGGAGGCAGAAATCAGAAGCCGAAATGATGCTCTGAGAATCAAAAAGAAAATGGAAGGTGATCTCAATGAAATGGAGATTCAGTTGAGTCATGCAAATCGCCAGGCTACAGAAGCTACGAAGCATCTCAGGATTGTACAGACGCAACTTAAGGTATGGTTAATTTGTTGCTTCACTGTATTCGTACAAACATTAGTACTAAGCATTAAAATTGAATTAAATGACTTCTGCGGATAAGTCATTACTTACTGTATTAGCTGTTACAAAATCAACATTTGCAAGTCAATGGGGAACTCTCTCAATGTTACTCAGGATGCTCAGCTACAAATTGATGAAACTTTGCGGAGCAATGAGGACCTGAAGGAGCAACTGGCTATGTCTGAACGCAGAAACAACCTTCAGCAAGCTGAAATAGAAGAATTGAGAGCAGCACTGGAACAGACAGAAAGGGCTCGCAAGCTGGCTGAACAAGAACTTGTTGATGCTAGTGAGCGTGTACAACTTTTACATTCTCAGGTAAGTTGTTGCGGGACAACTGAAGAATATTGTTCAAAGATTTTAGGCTGAACGTTCAGTACTTCTCTTATGCACCTCTTTAACTTTTAATAGAACACCAACCTCATCAACACCAAAAAGAAGCTTGAAACAGATATCTCCCACCTTCAGTCTGAGGTTGAGGAAGCCATTCAGGAGGCAAGAAATGCTGATGAGAAGGCCAAAAAGGCAATTACTGATGTAAGTTTTGAATTTAAATTAGCCAGTCAAAACTTCGATATTTCATGCCAACGTATACAAAAAAAATATCATATTTAATTACCAAAAGGCTGCTATGATGGCAGAAGAGTTAAAGAAGGAGCAGGATACCAGTGCCCACCTTGAGAGAATGAAGAAAAACCTTGATCAAACAGTGAAGGACCTACAGCATCGTTTGGATGAGGCTGAACAGTTGGCCATGAAAGGGGGAAAGAAACAGATCCAGAAACTGGAAGCCAGGGTATGTAATAATGCTGAACCCTAAAGTACAGCTCTGAATGGTGGCATGGAGATCTGGAGCATTTCTTTTGTATGAGAGCACAACTGTTTATATTCTCCTACTTTAGGTACGTGAACTGGAGAATGAATTTGAAGCTGAGCAGAAGCGTTGCGCAGAAGCTGTCAAAGGAGCTCGCAAGTATGAAAGGAGGGTCAAAGAACTCACCTATCAGGTATGGAATGTAGATTCGAAATGACATTTTAAAGACAGTAAAATGTATCAGAAATTACTGATATTGATATTCACAATTCAACACATTTGCTTACTGGATAAGGATCAGATTTACATATTCTTGTTTTAATTTTTAAACAGTCTGAGGAAGATAGAAAGAATCTCCTGAGATTGCAGGATTTGGTTGACAAACTACAAATGAAAGTTAAAGCCTACAAGAGGCAGTCTGAAGAATCTGTAAGTAATTTTGAACGCTGTACTATTTGAGATTACTTGGTGTCCATTTATATTCACCGGAAATGTTTCAGGGCAGTATTTCAATGTCAATGTACCCCTACATTCTTATGCCAAATCGTAACCCTTTTTGACATCATTTCAGGAGGAACAGGCTAACATTCATTTGTCCAAGTTCAGAAAGGTGCAACATGAGCTTGAGGAGGCTGAGGAACGTGCTGATATTGCCGAATCCCAGGTCAACAAACTCAGGGCTAAAAGCCGTGACATCCAGGTAATTTTCTGTTTGTTTTAAATGTTACATTCAGTAATCTGGAGTCCTTAACTCTATATTATTACAACCAGTTGATCCTAACTGTAGATATTAATCTATTAGCAACTGTAGGAGGTTTCCAGCTTGACAGAATTGTAATTAGGTTGCATGACTTTTGTAACAGTACCTATCACAGAACAGAACTGTTGGCATGCCTTGACACAGTTGAGGGAGTCCTCTATAAAAGTTGAAAAAAAAACTAAATGCTTGGGACATGGGGAGAGTACAATCCCCACTCCTTAAGTGCAGTGTTTGAGATGACGCAAATAGGATCCTGATTATTTTGCAAGCCAGGTTTGTCAATGCATTGGATTTCAACTCACACACAATAGCAAAGGCTGTGTTTGTTGCCTCAGCGTGCACAGTGGGGTGCATTCACTGCACCAGCAGTTGTAGTGCCCAAGAGGTCACTTTCTTTTAAAAATGTGCTTCAATTGTGTGCATCACTGTCTTCCTCATAAATTTAGCAATACCTCACTTTTTAGTGTTGCCAAAATCCATTTATCCTCTCAACTTGTGTTTTTTGATCTGTTTTGGATGCCTGCTCACTGCCCACTCCCAACCCTCACATCCTCAAATGCCAACTAATCACATCCCACTCATTGCCCCTCCTGTTGCCCCTTGTGCCACCCTAATCTCAACCCTTCACCTCTCATTGCCTCATCTGAATGCCTTACTTACTGCCCCAGTCTCTTATGGATATGTTAACCTGAGTAGCAAACTGGGTGAGGGGAGCAGAGAACAGAGCTGTGAATGGGAGGCAGTGAGTGGAACAGACAATGGGGCTGGGAGTGGGAGGCAACAACAACGGCAGGGGCATACCAATCCCAGAGGGAAAGGACAATTTTTAGAAACGTTATACGCAAACAGAAATTTCTGGCAATACACAGCAGGACTCTCAGCACCTGTGGGGTGAAAGCAGTGTTAAATGCTTCAAATTCCATGACTCTTCATCAGAACCAGTTCAGATGCTACTAGACTGGCTGAGTTTCACCAGAAATTGTTGCTTTTATTTCAGATCTCCAGCACCTGCAGTTCTTTGTTTTAAAAGGTGTTATACTTGGTAACAAACGTACTGGTTATACGAGACCTCTGTTTTGAAGTACATAAAAGGAGTTGCATCAGTATGTCTCATTCAGCAATTTTACTGTTTTACTTCTGACATTAATTGCACCAAGTTCCTGCTCCTGGTGTGAGGGGTGTGCAAAAACTTTAATCAGCAACAATTACTTCCTGCTCCAGTGCATTGACAGGTGGTACAGCAAAACACTGCAGATGCTGAAAATCTGAGAGAAAAACTAAAAATGTTAGAAATACCATGCAGGCCTGGCAGCATTATGAAGGCAGAAACCAGAGACAAGACCTCAAGTCAATAACTCTTTCACACAACTGTTTAGAGATGTATCCATTTTTAGGCATGGAAAGGGAAGAGGGGAGGAGTAAAATGATAAAAAGAAAGGTTTGTGTTAAGATGAAAATTATAAGGGATGATGCGACAAATGGGATGATGTCACAAGTAGAAAGGGACAAATAGTGAAACAAAAGATGCGTATCTGGTTAAAGCAAAACCATTACAAAAGGGGCCATCCAAAAGCAAAACAATAAATGCAGCAGTTATAATCTGAAACTATTAGATACAATGCTGAGCCTGGAAGGCTATAAAATGCTTCATTGTATCATGAGGTGATGATCCTTAAGCTTCCTTTGGAATAGCATAACAGACTGAGGACAGAAAGGTGGGAGTGGGCTAGAGAATTAAACTGCAGGCAACCAGAAGCTCAGGGTCACACTTTTGGCTGAATGGAAATACTCCACAGCATGGTGGCCAAATCTGAATTAGGTCTCCCAAATGTAGAACAGAACACATCCTGCCAAACAAATCTAGTATACTAAAAGAAGTAAAATTGAATTATTGTTTCACCTGGGAGTGTTTGGAGGGTTAGCACAATGAGAATGTGGAGGCAAAATCTCATGTGCTGGCATGGTACCGCAAAGAGATGCAAAGGTGATGAAAATATGAATGGTTGAGGAGTGAACCAGGATGTCGCTTTGGAAGGCTAATTAGGTGGCATCATGCTGGAAGTGAAGGAAATAGCAGAGGGTAATCTTTTGAAGGAGGAAGCTTGGGGCGGGAAAATGTTGAGGACTAAGGCAGTCCTGTTGTTGTTCCAAGAAGTGTGAGGAATGCAATAAAATTGGTCAAAATCCCTATCAACTTTTGTGGGGAATGTAGTGGGGTTCTTCTTGATTGAGGAAAAAGTGAGACCTATCAGAAGTGCTGATGGTAGGGAAAGGGGTAACGGTTTCAACTCCATGTTGTTTCACACTGAACCTAAGAGAAACTACCTCTTCTGGGGAGTTTTGCTGTGGTAATAGGTTGATTATTCCTCGTATCCTGTTAGTTTAACATCACTTCTCAGCAGCAATTGCTTTGTTCTGAAAATTCATTCCCAAATATAATTAGAACGCTTTCCAAAAAATCAGTCCATGCAAAAACAGAACTATTGTTAATACAATAATTGGGTCCTGTTTGTTAATTGCAAAAAAAATGTTTATTTTACAGAAAGTAATAGTCCAAGCTGAAGAGTAATTGCAAGCTTGAAGAGTTCATTGAAGAAATTCACAGAATGTGCATTTCCTTGTAACTTATTTTTCTATACTATGTTAGAATTACTAGTAATGTGTTACTAATAAAGAAAGCATCAACTTGTTGAAACTTGTCTTGTCCTAATTTCTTTAGTTCTGATGAACCAATCAAAGATAGGATCAGAAGTATATTAGAAGTCAAATTGATATGTAAGCCAATTGTGTAGTCATTTGAGCTGCTAGTGCTTTATTCTCAGATACAATAAATATCTGTTAATAAGAAAAATAAATATGTTCCTCAATTACTCAGAAACTTTTCCTGTGGAGCCAAACTATTAAGATAATCAGGTTAAATTCTCACTTAAATAATTTCAGTCCTGCTGCGAAGGTTGCTATAATTGTATGGTGAGAACTTGACTCAAAAGTAAGCACTCAAAGTCATAGAGTCATAGAACCATAGAGCACAAAAACAGACCCTTCAGTCCAACTCATTGACCAGACATGCCAATCTGACTTTGCCCCATTTGCCAGCATATGACCCAAATCCCTCTAAACCCTTCCTATTCATATATCCATTCAGATGCCTTTTAAGTGTTGCAATTGTACCCACCTCCACCACTTCCTCTGGTATCTCATTCCATACACACACTAACCATTTCATGAATAAGTTACCCCTCAGGTCCTTTTTAAATCTTTCCCCTCTGACCTTAAATCTATGCCCACTGGTTAGCTTTAGGGAAAATGCTTGGAGGTGCAACTGTAGTGGGCCAAATGATCGGTTTCATTATAAAATTATGAGGTCCCACAATTCAGTCAGTTGGGACATGGCCTTTTCCAGCACTTGATGCCCCTGTTAGTCTTTCCCTCCACAATGTTTTCCAAGTGATCAATCCTCTTGTATAACCTGCGAAAATCAAAGTAGGTATAGTATTTATCAACATCAGCTTGTCTGCAAGCAAAGACAGTGCTATTTGTGCAATCAAACATGTCTTCTTAATTTAGTGTAGACCTTGGAATAAATGTAGAAATGACAATTCAGCACATTGTGCCTGTGTCAACTCTTTCCAAGTAGTACCACTCCTTTGTTTATTCATATAACCCAACAGAATCTTCTTTTTCAAGTGTATATAAAAATTCACAGTGAAAAATGATGAATGAGCTTACTACTTCCACCTTCTCAGACAATGCATTTCTGATCATAACTTGTTGACCGGAGAGTAGAAATATATAAGTTTGAGTTTTGACAGCATTGAGGGATTAAGACCAGTGGCAGGTAAAATTTCCCATTATGAGAGGTAGTTGTTATTTCTAGATATTTTCTAATCAACTTGTTCAGAGATGCTACTTTACACATCAGGAGCAGGTGGGACCCAAACCCAGGTCTTCTGACTCAGAGGCAGGGAAACTACCACTATGCCATAAGAATTCTCAGGAATCATTTCTAGATATTTTCTAATTAACATGTTCAGAGATGTTGTTACACACCTCTGGAGTAGGGGACTTGAACCTGGGCCTCCTAGATCAGAGTTAAGGACATTACCAGTCCACCACAGAAGCCCTCAGTTGTTATTTCTATAACAATTACATTTATTGTATGCAGGTGATAGGCATAAAATGGGGTTTTAAAAAGAAATGCTTTCACCATGGATGATTTGGTGGTGTGTAATAGCACTTCTGGATTTAAAAGAAAAGCTTGAGTGGGGCTGTAGCTTTAGACCTGTGGGAAATACATAAATCATAGATCTATTCAACTGTGCTGTTCTGGACAACGTTTGCATTTCGACAATACGGTGAAACATTTGGTGAAAATGTTAAACATAAACTGAAAATGTGACAAGCTTTCAGTGAGTCTGGCAGCCTTTGCAAAGAAACAGAGCTAACATTTCAGAACCATGACCTCCCATCAGGTCACAGTTCAAAAGTCTTAGCTTTGGCCCCTATTGTCTGTTTTGCTCTCTGAAGGCATAGTCAATACAGTGTGGAGCTGGAAGAACAGAGCAGGTCAGGCAGCATCAGAGGAGCAGAAGAGTCGACATTTTGGGCCTGGACATATTTTCCAATCAACATGTTCGGAGCTGTTGTTACACACCTCTGGAGTAGGCAGGATTTGAATCTGGGCCTCCTGGATCAGAGTTAAGGACATTACCAATGCACCATAAGAGCCCTTGGGTGTTATTTCTATAACAATTATGTCTATAACAATTATTCAGTCCAGCCCTAAACATCTACTCTCCTGCTCCTCTGATGCTGCCTGATCTGCAGTGTTCCTCCAGCTCCACACTGTATTGACTCTGACTCCAGCATCGGCAGTTCTTGCTATCTCCATGTAGTGCTAATACCCTTCTTTCTCTCCAGGGATAATAATCGAAGTCCCTCTTGCGTGTCTCGATGTTAAGATATTATTTAGCAAACATGGCAAGCAAATGGTTAAGATTCATTGCGCTGCATACCTCAAATGTTCATGTGTTTAATGACCAAACATGTTTGCAGATGAGGGAAAAAACGCTAAAGCCAGACTAGTTGCGAGAGGTTTTTAAAAATGATTCCATGATACAGATGTTAAAATAAAATCTCCCACAGCTTAAAAGGTAATCTTGAAAATCTTTCTAGCTTATGTGGGCACATTGCTGGAATTATAAATCAATCAGCATAAGAGCTGTATTTCTTCAAGTTGATAATTTTCCAGAAAGAAGTGTTTGTGAAACCACTCAGCAGTTGCAGAAGGCAAATCATGGAAACTAAGTAAATGCATCTATGGCTTACATTATTTTTTCCATTATTCAGTACTTTTTGGTGAGATCTGTTTTGCCAAAAATAGTTTATGTTCATCTAAAAGCTGGTATTCCAATATTTTATTAGTATTATAAAAGGAAAATACTAGGCATCTTTATGATAAAAGTTGATGATTTCTTAAGAGGTGGTACTGTGGGATTTGAGAAATGTGTTATTAATAAGACTAGAATAAAATTGGGAGTTGCATTTCTGGGACTATTAAATGTATTGACTTAGATAATAATTAATAATGCCTAATATAACTTTAAATCAATATTCTGAGAGTGATAATTCTATTTCAGTTAATGGTACTAGGTCATCACATAAATCTGATGTTAGAGCAAAAGAAGAAATGAATCAATAGAGAAGTTTGATTTTTCAATTGAACTGATGGATCACTCGGACTAGATTAGATGCTAGCTTTGATGCACTGGATTCCAGTGCTGTGATAAACTGTTCTAAAGTTAAGATTTTTGTTAAAAGAGCACATAAAACTTTTTTTTAGTGTAAGTCTGGAGAAATGAGTACTGAAGTCCCATTCTTGGTTAATCTAATTAACATAAAGCTCATCACTTTCAGTGATGCTTCACCTACTAATTTCCCCAGTGGATATTCATGTACAGCTGATTTTACATTATTTCTTCTGGGTGAGAAGGGAAATACTATCCTTTGAACTTGGCTGCTAAGAAAATATAAAACTGCTGCTAAAAGTACTTTGGCTGCTGAAACACTGGCTGTTGTGGAGGCATTAGATACTCTTTGCCAAATATTTTGGTGCAACTATATGTCTGTTAAGCGTAATGTAGGTAGTAGTTCTTTGTGGAATAGTGCACACTCTATGCAAAGTGTGAACAGGAAGATTACAGACTGACCTTAATTTTAATTAACCAAACAAATAGGGAAGAAGGAGATCTCTACAACTGAATAGCCAGGTGCAAGTCATCAACTGTCTGATTGTTTTGTAAAACAAAATGTTAGATGTCCTAAAAGAGAGATATACTGATTTGATTTGCTTTACAATTGTTTGTGCATATCTGTTAATGGTTTATCAAGTTCATGCAAGTATCATCATTATAGAACGCCTACAGTATGGAAACAGGCCCTTTGGCCCAACAAGTCCACACCAACCTCAGAGCATCCCACTCAGGCCCATTCCCCTATAACCCATCTAATTTACACATTCCTGAACACTATGGGCAATTTAGCATGGCAAATCCACCTAGCCTGCACATCTTAGGACTGTGGGAGGAAACTGGAGCACCTGGAGGAAACTTGGTGCATTTGACCTTATTGAAACTGTATGTGGTTTCAAGTTGAAAGTTTGCAACGTTTCCCTCTGCAAATTAATGCAATACTGACCACAAATTGGCTGCAAAACAATTCTTAAACTACAGCCTTTCTGAAATATAATGGTGTGAAGATAAAGAATCCCAAAATCATGTGATACACCAAATCACCAAAATATTGGTCTTAGCCTGAAATGGAATCGCACTATTCGGAGAGATACAAATTTCTATGAAGATGTGCTAAATCAAATATTAAACTTTAAATTCATCATGTGAATTCATGACATTTTCACTTTTTTACATTGGATGTTATGGACTCTGAGATGGCCGACCAATCATTTTGCAACTTCAAGCTTGTTAAGTCTTTGGAAGTTCAAAATGGACTACAGATAGACATGCCTGGATCACTCTGAGATCTTTCATACTTGTGATAACCAAGGATTGCACCAAGAACAATGTCAGCATTTTTCTGATATTGACCCGCTGCTCGTCAGACAGGCTTAACAAAAGTCTACTGATATATTTTCATTGCGTCAGAATGCGAATCTACCTTGTGAAGGAACAAAAGGTTTGAGTTCAGTTGACAGGAGAATTCAACTACTTGATGGGATTACCTTGTTTGGGACCATGACATAGTAAATTGAAGGTCAGTCATCATTTATATTTACTGGCAAGTATATAAAAGGCAGGGCTAGCTGCACTCTCCCAAGAATGCAACAGTGGCAGCAAAAAAAAAGCTGCTCTCCTTCATTCCTCCAATCCAATAGCTAAGCATTGACTTTTCTGAGTCTTGACCTGCAGCTACCTCCCTGCAAGCACACAGCGAATTCTGAATTACTCCATCAATGCCTCTTGAAGTAAATTCTAGCTACATTTTGAAACATCATTTCAGTGGCCTGTGAGTTACAGTCAGACCTGGATACCAGCCACAAACTGTGAACTGACT